TTACATTACATCATTTTAGCTGAAGTATTCTGTTGGACTACTTTTAGATTACTTATGACCTATATTTTTACATTTCAAATGTTTCATTGTTTACCTTCATGTCAATGTGACCATAAACCGTCATCAGAGAACTGTGAAGCATATGTGAATAAACGAATAATGCATGTTTTAGGTCACAGCACATCACAAAAATAAATAAACATAAAAACACCAATGACATGGACAAAGTTTTGCCATTTTGAAATATTTTTGTCAGTTATTCACAGAGCTGGGTAGTAAATGATGTATTAACTGAACAATCTTGTTCTAGCCGAAACTATTTTCTAAAATCACAGTTTAAGACGCCACAACCAGTGCTGAACAGTAACTGATTGTATGTAATCTGGATTACATAATAAGATTCCAAAAATCAAGTACTTGTAATTAGATTCAATTACATTTTAAAATACTCGTAATCAGACTGCAGTTACTTTTTATGAATTACATGATTACATATTATTTACACAATAGCAATATGTATTCATAATTTATTGATTCTCCCTAATTCCTCTTTTTTTATCTTTCAAATGTTACTTTCCAAAAATGTGGATGTTCACACAGAGATCAGTCATTAGTCAGGTGCTGCACTGCACGGAGGAGACGAATTGTTGAATAAAGCCGTTATTTTTGATTTCTTTGCACACAAAATTTATTTTCGTAGCTTGGTAAAAATTATGGTTAAACCACTGTCACATAGATTATTTTAACAATCTCCTTGCTATGTTTCTGAGCCTTGATCGTGTTAGGATCCTTGCTGTCTATGGGAGGGTCAGAGAGCTCTTGGAATGCATCAAAAATATCTTAATTTGTGTTCCGAAGATGAACGAAGGTCGTACAGGTTTGGAACGACATGAGGGTGAGTAATTAATGACAGAATTTAAATTTTTGTTGGGTGAACTATCCCTTTAAATATCCATTTAAATATCCTTTTCTTCGGACATAGGCCTATAACTTACAAAAAACTTCTCAATATCCACTCAAAAACAATGAATATGTTGTACGATTTTGTCGATAAATTTAATCTAAACAACAACATTAATTTAGTGGCACTTACCTGACGTGTGAACTTAAGGGTGCAGTAGGAGATCTCGGAAAATGCTAACTTTAGCCTGATAGCACTGAAAGCGAACGTCCCACCCTCCCTGCAATCGCCGTCCAAAGCCACGCCCCTAAACGCATATACGCTCACAGACCAGAATACCAGAGACAACATTACTACAATACTACAATCAATTTGTTTGGCTTCACTGATGTCATTAAATACTGTCATGTGTGTGCACACGGAGGGCAGTCGAAGTTCTGCACAAGACCACGGTCTGCTATTTGAGGATGCCTGTTGTAAACCATACAGATGAATCAGCATTAACCACACAAGCGTAACGCATTAAAAGTCAAATGTGATTTAGTGAGCATCTTTATGGAGGCTAAATGCTCTAAATGAACCAGTTAAACCCATCTGTTGTGTAGTTAAACTAGTGGCTCTCATGCCGGATTTGGTTCGGTTTAGGCTTCACTTTCTCAATAATACTTGATTTAAATGAGAAGTTGTTACTGTGAGAGATGTTTCAGATGGAAAACTGTAATTCAGATGTCAAAACAGTTTTAACAGTCTTCTGTCAGCCAAAAGGTTGACTGAGAAAGTCAGAGAAGAGCAGAAGCAAGAGACGAAGTGGTGATAAAATGAGTTTATTGAATAATCTTAGTTGCACGTTTCAGTGCTCAGACTTCATCTGAATCCAACAAGTGTTATTATAGCACAAACCACAGCAATGGAAAATGACTGCTTCACTACATCATCCTTGAAGGAAAATGCTAACTTTAGCCTGATAGCGCTGAAAGCGAACGTCCCACCCTCCCTGCAATCGCCGTCCAAAGCCACGCCCCTAAACGCATATACGTTCACAGACCAGAATACCAGAGACAACATTACTACAATACTACAATCAATTTGTTTGGCTTCACTGATGTCATTAAATACTGTCATGTGTGTGCACACGGAGGGCAGTCGAAGTTCTGCACAAGACCACGGTCTGCTAGTTGAGGATGCCTGTTGTAAACCATACAGATGAATCAGCATTAACCACACAAGCGTAACGCATTAAAAGTCAAATGTGATTTAGTGAGCATCTTTATGGAGGCTAAATGCTCTAAATGAACCAGTTAAACCCATCTGTTGTGTAGCTAAACTAGTGGCTCTCATGCCGGATTTGGTTCGGTTTAGGCTTCACTTTCTCAATAATACTTGATTTAAATGAGAAGTTGTTACTGTGAGAGATGTTTCAGATGGAAAACTGTAATTCAGATGTCAAAACAGTTTTAACAGTCTTCTGTCAGCCAAAAGGTTGACTGAGAAAGCCAGAGAAGAGCAGAAGCAGGAGACGAAGTGGTGATAAAATGAGTTTATTGAATCATCTTAGTTGCACGTTTCAGTGCTCAGACTTCATCTGAATCCAACAAGTGTTATTATAGCACAAACCACAGCAATGGAAAATGACTGCTTCACTACATCATCCTTGAAACCGAGACATTCTCTGATCTCTTACTCATGAAGACAAATATCCACTGAAAGCACACAATCAGAAGACTAAACAGCAATGGAAAAATTATTTAAATGACAAATCCTTGAATGAATCAATGATATGGGTAAATAAATTATTACAATTGGTATATGATTAAATTATAAATCCTATGTGAATTAAGTATAAATGAATATTAAAGAAAGTAAAACAAACTAAATATATGGTTGCTCTCTAAAATAAATGTCTTTATAAATGACTAAATAATTGCAAAATTTCTTATTGCAGATTATATTATCAGCATAACAATTTGAGTCAAAAGTAAAACTTGAGAACATGATCTTAATATTATTTACATTAAACAGAAAAAAAAGATTTTCTTCCTCAGTGTTTCTAGCTCTTTTTTTTTTCAGTAAAATGAAATATTCATAAATTGATGCGAACAGAATGACTGAAGATATTCATTCTAGTTTTTTTTCCAAAATTTAGTGAGATTTTTCTTTAAAACTAGAATAAAAATATCTCCAATTGGGCTCAGAAATATGTTTTTGTTTTCCCTTTGAATTCATTGATTTTTCTGACCCCAATGGCAGATATTTTATTTGTTTTAAACATAAACTCATTTAGGACAGTCAAACGGTACACTGTAAAAAAAATTCCGTAAAACCAAAGCCCATCACAAGCAGCTTTTAAATATTAACATATATAGATGGTGCACAGTGTTATTCACACAAACACTAAACACCATCATGATAACACACATGAAACTGAAATAATGCAATAAACATTCATTTAACAACATTAGGTGTAACACACAACCCTAATATACAAAACTGATAAGAAAAACCTAAGAAGAAACATAGTTATTTCAACAAAAAAACATCAAATTTGAAATGTAACGCAGGGAATTCTGGGAATGTCAATTTACGGTTATTCACTGTAAATTATACGGTCTTTTTCACTTCCAAAAACGGTATACTACCGTAAAATTAATGTCCAATACAGTTTTTCACCATATATAGTAGGGGAATTTACCGTTAACCATTTAACAGGTTTTTACTGTAGCATTTTTACAGTCTTTTACTGTTAAATTCACAGTCATTTTTTACAGTGTAGGTATCGTTTGATAGAAAACTTCCTACATTTTTAGAAAATATTGTTTAATATTTGGAAATTCTCATGCTGAGAAACTGCTGAGAAAATATCTTTAGATCTAAGTGACGGATTATGGTGAGTTTGGGCTCTTTTTAATGGGGAGAATCTGCTGTAAATAATGCTGTGATTTCCAACTGAACAAATTCCATCTGAACATGTTTTATGAAGTTATAAGCAAAACATGACAAATTGTTGCATTCTACTCTGAGATCATTCAAATGATATATGACACATGAAAAATTATTATGAATTGTTTGTCACTAGGTGGCAGCCCCTGTGTTTACTGTTTGCTAAATATAATGCAGAAAATATGATTTAATATTTCATCCTTTCATCCTTATAAATTTCAATTTAGAAGGACAACTCAGCGCTCGTTACGAGTAAAACAAAATTCATGCATTAAAAAGCTGAGTTTCTAAGCTTTAAATTGATACATAATTGGTGTTATTACATTTAGTGGTTGCTTAGTAATTAGATTATTTATGTGGGGTTGGGGTAGGGGGCTTTGCTGCCAGTGGTACACTTCTGGTTATGGCCAATATGCTAGTAATATGCATGCTAGTTAATAGTGAGAATTGTTCTTTATAATGTGTTACAAAAGTATCTGGATAATTGTAGTGAAGAAAAATACTAAGGAAAAATAATTTTTTTTCCAGTGATGGGTTTTCATTAATAAGAATTGTTAATGTAACTGCAAATCTCAGCGTTTAATTGCACGATGCTGTGCATTTCAGTCTTCTAATCGATTGCACAGCATATCAAACACAGATTCATGAAAGATTGCTGTACTTAATAGCTGTAAGCTGAATTTTGTAAGCTGAATGTCTCATATCTCAAAGATTTATTTGTAAACAAATGCCAAACTGAAATAAATAATGTGTAATCCATTTATATTCCATCATTTTATTATTTACTAACACTTCCGTGTTTACTGTTTGCTAAATATAATGCAGAAAATATGATTGTGTGATTACAACACACACACTGTAGATTTCAAAGTCATTATTTTTGTATTATCTTGTTCCAAAATATCTAAATACTAAACTACTTAGAGGAGCCCAAGACTAAACTATTGTTTTTTTTTTTTTTATTATTAATTCTGCATTTATGGACTCAAACCAATGCATGTGTGAGCACTAAATATGTTTGTGTTCACTGAAATCATTTAACTAAAATCAACATTTGAAATGCATTTGTCCTGTACTTTTATACAGGATGATCTTATTCTCATTCGTAAGTTTTTGTACAGTATGTAAAGCATTAAATCATTAACAGTGCCAATGCATTAACTAAAATGTGATGGTGTTAAACATCTATGAGTTATTATAAATGCTTGTACCTTAAAGATTCATAACTGTTTGGACAAGTTATGGCATGTATCAGAGACTAGTGTTTCATTGGATCTAACACCTCTTCTTTTGTGTGTTTTCTTGTGTTTTCTGCCGCTGGAAGATCTTCCCGTCAGGTTGGACGCTCCATGTTATGCTGGATCTGATTTTCATGTGCTGATCTGAGAGGATCTGCTTCATCTAGACACCAGATTACATCAGTCATTAGTGAACGAGAACAATCTACCGCCGTTTAGATGTCAATAATCTAAAACTATAAAAAAAAATGTTTAATTAAAATAAAATAAACACTGCAAATTACTTAGTATTTTTTCCTTTTTTTTCTCAGTACAACTAAAATGTAGGGCTGCCCTTGACTAAGGATTTTTCTGGTCGACTAGTAGTCGTTCCCTATCTGTCGGTCACTACAAGTTATATTTACTTCAGAGCCCCAATCCGCTCTGACTTTCAGAGAAAACGCCAATTAATTTTGGCTAGTGGATTTTGCATACCTGAGCCACTCCCCATGCATACGGGTATAAATAGGCCACAGGTGCATCCACTCTTCAGATTTTTGCTTCGGAGCCGAGTGGGTGAATGATTTCTTCTCCACAAAGCATTTCTGTTCTGACTGGAAGAAAGACGCTGTTCCTGGTTGGCGTGACGGCACAAACAGCGGTGTCCCTGTTGATTCAGCGATTCCCCTGGGTGCTTCAACTAAAAGAGCAGTTTCTCATCACGGACTGCTCGCGTCTTTTTAAAGATGCCATTCTGTCTGTGTTCTCTTGGTTGCGGTCGTTACCTGCCCTCTGTCGACAGCCACGAACGTTGCCTTCAGTGTCTGGGCATCCAACGTTCTGCATTCGCTGCGTTAGTGGATGTCTCATGCGTTCATTGCGGACGTATGAGCATGGCTTCGTTGCGATCTCACCTCTCTCTCCTCACGGGGAATGGAGCGACACCCTCAGTCTCTACCCGTCCCGGTTTCCCTGTCACGAGTATGGGACCGCTGGCTAGAGCTCTGGGAGATCTGAGGGTCACAGTGAGAGCTTCTCTGTCGGTGAGGGTTTTCCCGGAGGTGCATGAGGAGCTCACGAAGTCGTGGATGGTACCTTTTTCGACCAGAAGCCGCTCGTCTCCTTCCTCCGACCTCACTACCCTCGATGGTGGGGTGGCTAGGGGGTACGTATACATTCCCCAGGTGGAGAGAGTGGTTGCGGTGCACCTGTGCCTGCAAAATGCCCCCACTTGGAGGAATTGTCTGCGTCTCCCGTCCAAAGCCTGTAAGCTGACGGCCGCTCTCGCAGCCAATGCTTACGGTGCTCCGGCCCAGGCCGCCTCTGTCCTGCATGCCATGGCAATCCTGCAGGTACACCAAGCCAAGGCACTCAAACAAATGCACGAGGGTAGTTCCGACCTGGGGTTGATGCAGGAGCTGCACACAGCGACTGACTTCGCTCTCTGGGCGACGAAAGTCGCAGTGCGGTCCCTCAGCAAGGCGATGTCCACGCTTGTGGCCCAAGAGCGCCATCTTTGGCTTAACCTCACTTGAGATGAGAGATGTCGACAAAGTGCGCTTTTTTGACGCTCCCATCTCGCAAGTTGGCCTATTCGGCGACACTGTCGAGGACTTTGCCCAGCAGTTCGAGCAGTTTGCCCAGCACTTTGAGGCGGGGACCGCGCATCAGCCTGCTCTCGCCGTGTCCCCGCAATTTCTTGGCTGCTGGGAATAGGGGGCGTCGTGGGCGAGAGTGAAGAGGCAGCGCATCGCTCACTGTCAACCCACGAGCCTGATAACCCGGAGGAAAAGGAAACTGCTCTCTTTTCGAGAATGTGGGAACCACTGGCCGGAACAGAAACAAAACGGAACAAAGGATTCTCCGCCCGACCCTCCTCCGGGGGAAGGAGTGGTGCTGTTTTTGCCATCTCCTGAAAAAGAGCAGCTTCCCACATCTCTGGGTTGCCCGTGTCAGGGCCGCTTTGTCATCTTTTTAGAGGACTTAGGGGCCGGCTGGGACACGGAGGGTGCCGCAGTCCTCAGAGAGGCTCGACGCACCGGCCTTGACGGTGTCTCAGCACGGGGTGGAGGCGCTCTCGAGGATGAGCCAGGACGCGATGCCTTCTGTGTCATCCAGCATGACTTCCCACCGCTGCACCACCGCGGGTGCGTCGATTGTCCCTTTGGTGCCACTCGCGCGGAACTTGGAAGTAGGGGTGTGCCCGAAGCCAAATACCTTATTCGGAAAGGCATGGATAATGGCTTCAAAAATGAATAACGGATAACGAATAATTCTGCCCGATATTTTACACAAATCTCTAAATTCACGCAATAATGAGTGTGTGAATTGAATGAATGTAACTTTATGGATGAAAAGAGCGCAAATCAAACACCGCATTGCTGTTGCCACTCCGTGCATCTCTCAGAAATCAGAGCTTGGCAAGATTAGGCCTAATATTACCTAAAATAATACATCATACACGTTCTACTATTTGTGTATATATAAAAGGCAATGAATGATTTAAACCTTATAGGCTACGATATAACACACGAATTAATAAGCACAGCGCGATCGCCAATCAAACAGCCTCGTTGCCATCTCTGCGCATTTCTGTCTCTCAAAAACTAAACCAGCTCTCTGTCAAGAGTAGGCTAATAATCAACTTAAATACAGATACATTTTCTACTAGGCCTACATGTTTGCTTCCTTATCTTTTGCTGGTTTGCGTGGCACACGCACATTTGTTTAGTGAAGTTCAAAAAAGAGTTCTGCATAATGAAAATGTGCGCCTTGAATTCATTCAGTCGTGTTCAAATGATCACTAAATGTTTGTCATGAAATCTTCCTACTTGTATGATAAATGTATTTTTAGAAATTATTAATTTTATATTTTAGAACACTGAATAGGGCAAATAGTCAAAACACAAATATTTTTCCATACTCTGTTCTCTTTTTTTTCCCATAGGTTTTCCAGACCTGCAAATTACTGAAGTGAAATAATTTTTTTAACTGCGTAGGAACCGGTGAGCCAAAGGAAATCATGTTGTTTTACATAAACCTCTAAAATTACAATGCAGTAACAAGTGTGTGAAGTCGCTAAATGAGTTTATGAATGAAATAAGTGCAAATAAAATAGCAGCGTTGCAGTTGCTTAAGTTAATGTTTAACTTATGTTTAAGTTAAATGACTTAAATCAATTTCCATATTTCTAAACTGTTTAGGAACCCTTATCAGTGATAACTACGAAAAAAGATAGGCTGTAAAACCATAAACATAACGGTCTTATCAAATATAACTGTACGAAGTTCTGGTTCAAGCTCCGCCTACTTCCGGTTTAATCCGAATACAGATACAGATACAAATAATTTTGTGATTGTTACAGATACAAATACAGATACAAATACTGACTTCGCTGCACACCCCTACTTGGAAGCATGGCTTGCGCTGCCCAACCTGTCCCGTCCCACTGTCTCATTTGGACAGTTCGACTCGGCTACGCGATTCAGTTCGCTAGGCAACCCCCCAGGTTCAGCGGCGTTCTCGAGACTTCGGGCCCTTCACAAGCTCCTATTCAAGATGTTGACGCAGAAGCGCATCATCAGATGCATCCAGCCCCAGGATTGGTTTGCAGCGGTCGACCTGAAGAATGCTTACTTTCATGTCTCGATTCTTCCTCGACACAGGCCTACGGTTTGTTTTTGAGAGTCGGGCATGGCAGTACAGGGTCCTCCCCTTCGGGCTGTCCCTGTCCCCCCATGTCTTTACGAAGGTCGCGGAGGGCGCCCTTGCCCCGTTATGGGAAGTGGGCATCAGGATCCTCAGCTACCTCGACGACTGGCTCACCGTGGCCTGGTCACGAGAGCAGTTGTGCGATCACAGGGACCTGGTGCTCCGGCACTTCAGCCAGTTGGGGCTTTGGGTCAACTGGGAAAAGAGCAAACTCTCCCCCGTGCAGAAGATCTCTTTTCTCGGTATGGAGTTAGACTCGGTGAGTATGACAGCGTGTCTCACCAACGAGCGTGTCCAGTCAGTGTTGAACTGCCTGAGTTCCTTCAGAGGCAGGAACGTTGTATCTCACAGGCTCCTGGGGCATATGGCATCTGCAATCGCAGTCATGCTGCTCGGATTGCTTCATATGAGACCAATTCAGCACTGGTTACACTCCCGAGTCCTGAGATGGGCATGGCGTCACAGTACACTTCGTGTGACTATCACACCGGAGTGTCGCCGCCTATTCAGCCCCTGGACAGACCTTGCCTTTCTTCGGGCCGGGGTGCCCTTAGAACAAGTGTCCCGGAATGTCGTTGTCACGATGGATGCATCCAGTATGGGTTGGGGCACTACATGCAACGTGCAGGCAGCCTCGGGGCTCTGGAAAGGGCCTCGACTGCTTTGGCACATCAACTGCCTAGAGCTGTTGGCAGTGCATCTGGCTTTGCGGCAGTTCCAGACATTGCTGCAAGACAGGCACTGTTGGTCTGCACAGACAACACTGCGGCTGTCTCGTACATCAATCATCAGGGTAGTCTACGATCACATCACATGTCATAGCTCGCACATCATCTCCTCCTCTGGAGTCAGACGCAGCTCAAGTCACTGCGCGCCGTCCACATTCCGGTGGAGCTCAATCGTGCAGCCGGCGACTCCATCCCGAGATGATCCGGCTGATCTGGAGTCGATTTGGGGAAGCCCAGGTAGATCGGTTTGCTTCCCACGAGTCCTCTCACAGCCAGCTGTATTACTTCCTGACCGAGGCCCCCTCGGCACGGATGCACTGGCACACAGCTGGCCTCAGGCTCTACGCAAGTATGTGTTTCCCCCAGTAAGACTTCTCGCACAGACACTGTGCAAGGTCAGAGAGGACGAGGAACAGGTCTTGCTGATTGCGCCTTACTGGCCCACCCAGACCTGGTTTTCGGAACTCATGGTCCTCGCAACAGCCGCTCCCTGGCGCATCCCTCTGAGGAAGGACCTACTTTCTCAGGGGCTCAGCACCATATGGCACCCGTGTCCAGATCTCTGGGACCTTCATGTGTGACTCCTGGACAGGACGCTGCAGACTTAAGTGATCTGCCACCAGCAGTGGTAAACACGATCACTCAGGCTAGAGCTCCCTTGACGAGGCAAGCCTATGCTCTGAAGTGGAGTCTGTTCATGAACTGGTGTTCTTCTTGCCGAGAAGACCCCCGAAGATGCACGATTGGAGTAGTGCTTTCTTTCCTGCAAGAAAGTTTGGAGCATAGGCTGTCACCCTCCATCTTGAAAGTGTATGTGGCTGCTATTGCAGCACATCACGATGCAGTGCACGGCTGGTCCCTGGGAAAACACGATCTCATCATCAGGTTTCTGAGGGGTGCCAGAAGGTTGAATCCTCCTAGGCCACCCCTGGTGCCCTCCTGGGATCTCTCTACCATCCTGGCTGGCCTTCAGAGGGATCCCTTTGAGCCACTGGATTCAGTTGAGCTTAAGTTCCTGTCTGCTAAAACAGCGCTCCTGACCGCGCTCACTTCCATCAAGAGGGTCAGGGACCTCCAAGCATTTTCAGTGAGCGAAGAGTGCCTTGTGTTCGGGCCGGCCTACTCTCACGTTGTCCTGAGACCCCGGCCTGGATATGTGCCCAAGGTTCCCACCACGGCCTTTCGCGATCAGGTGGTGAACCTGCAAGCACTGCCCTCAGAGGAGGCAAATCCAGCCTTGGCATTGCTGTGTCCCATAAAAGCGTTGTGCATATACGTGGACCGCACACAGAGCTTCAGAAGCTCTGAGCAGCTCTTTGTCTGCTACGAAGGTCAGCAGAGAGGGAAGGCTGTCTCCAAGCAGAGGTTGGCCAACTGGATAGTGGATGCCATTGCCTTGGCCTACCAATCACAAGGCAAGCCGTGCCCCCTTGGGGTGAGGGCTCACTCCACACATAGTGTTGCCTCCTCCTATGCGCTGGCGCTCGGCACCTTTCTGGCAGACATCTGTAGAGCTGCGGGCTGGGCGACACTGAACACCTTCGCAAGATTTTACAGTCTCCGTGTTGAGCCGGTTTCTTCCCGTGTGTTGGGTAACAGGTAAGTGGCGGGAAGAGCCGGCCAGTGTCACGCTTGCTGTGCCAGTCCCCTTCACCCGGGGATGCGAGTGCCTTTTCCTCCTCCAGTAAGTTCCCTGGTCGGCGAACCCTGGTTGAGTATCCTCCAGCACCCCCCGGCAGTCAGACCGGGTCTCCGGTCAGCCCCTTTACTGGGCTAGGTGTACATATGGCTTGATTCCCTGCGGGCGATCCCATATGTGTATTCTTCCATGGTAAGGTTTCCTTCTCGGTGAACCCGTGTCTTCCCTTTGATAGACCACTCTGTCAGTCTCTGCTGGCAGCCATTCCTCCCTACTCCTAGGTAGGACCTGCCTCAGAGACCCATTCCATATGTAGTACTGCCCCAGGCCTGGGTCAATCCATATCAGTGTCTCCACATGGTACCTCCTTACAGGCAGGATGTGGTCTCAGTAGCGTCCTTCTCCGGAAGGCTCGCTTCCCCTTCGTTACTGCCAAACAACGAACAGGAAAGGCGTGAAGCACCTTTCATGAAGGTCAAAATCCCTTTTCTTAATTTTTTTTTTCTGTCATAGGATCAGCAGCTTGGCTGTCTCCAGCAGCCATGTACTCACCTTTTGGTCCCTGCCGGCGCCAAGGTCAGCGAATTTGTGCTGGGGCGTTGGGAAGGGTACGACCTTTGCGTAGCATTTGTCTGACACGCGGCTGCTTGTCAATATTTGCAGAGCTACAGGGTTGTGACAGGGTTCAGGTTGTGGCACTTTCCATGGACCCCCTACCTCGTCACAACATAACTCGTAGTGACCGACAAATAGGGAACGTCTCGGTTACGTACGTAACCCTCGTTCCCTGATGGAGGGAACGGAGATGTTATGTCCCCATGCCACAACCTCGAATCATCGCTGGTTGACTGGGACACGTTCTCGGCTCCTCAGCGTAAAACCTGAATGAGTGGATGCACCTGTCGCCTATTTATACCCGTATGCATAGGGAGTGGCTCAGGTATGCAATATCCACTAGCCAAAATTAATTGGCATTTTCTCTGAAAGTCAGAACGGATTGGGGCTCTCAAGTAAACCCCCTATGTCGTCACGACATAACGTCTCCGTTCCCTCCATCAGGGAACGAGGGTTACATATGTAACCGAGACGTTCATTTTAAGCATTAGTTGACTATTAGTCGCACGTTTATTAACAAACCATTTAAATCATTATAATGAGCCTTTTATTGCCTACAAAACCTAATAAGCGCTCAAGCACATGCATAAAGCTTGACACAGCGCACCTTCAGAAGTAATGATTATGAATGTGTCAGGGAAAAACTGTTCAACTGAAAAACTCAAGTTCACAGAGACTGAGATGGCAGAAAGCACTTCCTGTTTGCTTTCATTATTTTACAAAAGCATGTTTTGTTGTTATTGTGAGTGCACAAATAAACGTAGAGTCTTTACAGATTTGAAAGATGTATTAATCTTATCTGTATGACCAAAAACAAGGGAGCAATTTAAGAGCAAGTGAGCGCACCGGCGCCTCTATCTGTCCTTCAGTGATCACTACTGTTCTGCTTCCACACTCCACACAGACACTTCAATAGCGCACATTTCTCTGGGTTAACATTAGATTGAGCAGCTATGTAAAGTTGCTAATACTTACATATTTCAGATGATAAGCCATATTTGAGGTCGATGAATGATAGGCGAGTGTTCGGACATCCTACCCGAAGTAGTGTATTGCCATAGACTAGCAGTTAACGATCTGTCCATCACGGACTGCGTGATTTCACCTGTGGATTTTTTTTTGTGGAATTTTTTTTTCTGCAACTAAGTGACTAATAAAATGTTTTTTTCTGGTTGACTAACGATTAGTCGACTATTAAGGGGCAGCCCAACTAAAATGTAAACATTATTAGATCCACATATATTGAAATGAAATTAGAAGCAAATATACCAATTTTTTATTTTTTTTTGCTTAAAACAAGAAAAAATATATTTCAGTGGAAAGCTAGGTTCGATTTAAAGGAAAGCTAGCTGATTTTTCTGAGCCCGTTGCCCATTGACAGTTCTTTTTTTTTTCTAGTTTTATGCAAAAATTCCCATATTTTCATATTTTTAAGTCATTTTGCTTCTCAGGTAAATTGATTTTTAAAAAGCATGTTTAGAAACATGCAAGTGACACAAACACACAACAAAATGAACTAAAATTAAAATAGAAATAGAAAAAATGAAACTAAATACCAATTCAGAACAGTCTAAAATTACTATTCTGCATATTAAACTAAAAACAAAAGTGTTGCGTTTATAATTTTGTTCAGTGTATAATAGCATATTAATAATATTAAAATAACATGCAGAATCATCTCACCTTCTTCTCTATGGCCTCCATCACTGCGGATTTGTCCAGATGTCCGTCTGATTTGACTGTGAATCTCACACGCTTTATTTTCCTGTTTTCGCGGCAGTAGAAAGGCAGTCGAGTCGAGCAGTTGTCATCAGCCATCAGTCCTTCAGTATTGGCTCTCGCACAATTCTCGTTTCCCTTCACGTTATCAGGCTGTCCAGACTCCCATTTTACAGAGGACCACGATACACTTCTCTTATCCGACCACAGCCATGGGATCTTGTACAGGCCGATCCAAGAATCGTTGTGGCCCTTGTCAGAAAGTATTTTTGCGAGGAATGTGTTCTCTGTGTCGTCTGTAATGACGGCCAGGTCTACGTAGTTTTTGCTGCAGTAAATTTGAGCATTAGTCCAGGTCATGCTCATTTCAATGTACTTAAACTTGTCCTGAAGTGTGTCCTGATTGTCTGTAAGGAGTAGATTGGACAGAGAAACATTCTTGAAAATGTGAAGTGCCATACAAAATTAACTATAAGTTTGTTCATAGAAAATATGGACAAACTCATCCTCAAAAAATGGCTTGGAAAAGTTTATTTTTTGTTTGTGTTATTTTAGTATCATCGGTATACTATAAGTTTTTGTTCATATTTAGAATTTATTGCGATTTGTTCTATATTTTCAGTTTTCACTGTAATTTTAAGTAAAGTTTTAGTAATTTTGTTGTGTTTTATTAAATGCTTATATAAGAAGCCTATAGAAGAAGATTTTCTTCTTTTTTTTCTCTGTGTTTTTTCTTTTGTACTAATCGAGCTTGTATTTTAACTATGACATTATGCTCATATAGTCTGTAAACGAAAACTAAGACTAAAACTATTGGTCAAAAAACATTTTCGTAAACTGAAATAAAAATAACATTTCAAAATAAATGAAAAACTAAACTAAACTAACAACGGTAATGGAAAAATGAACTAAAATAAAATAACAATTAGCAAAAATAAATAATCGTGTTCGTGATTTAATAAGCTCTCATTCTGTGCCAGAAAATCTGGCCTGTGGTTGTTTAGGGAAATACCTGTAGATGGAGCTTCATGCACGTGAGCTGAATCCTAAGCAGCTATTGTATTCACAGAGAATGCGTTTTTGCATTTAAAAAACAAGACGTGGGAAATTAAATGGGAAATAACTATAAAATATGAAATGGGAAATAATAATAATGCACACCTTACAGCGCACGGACGTTTAAAAGCGTGTTTGACGTGCGAGAACAACATCACAGTGAGTTAACAGACACAGAATTACAATTTTGGATGAGCAGACTTTAGTGAATAGTCATTTTGTCACACTTTACGATTACTATGGCAACGTCTGCCTCGAGTCCATGACACGAGCACCGC